GTTCCCTACTACTCACTTAGTACTTTATTCCTTGCCTTGTCTGCCTCTTCTCTTTATTCCCCAGCATCAATTATAGTGTCTTGCAATCAATAAAATCAACAAGCATTTTAATAAAGTACCTACTATGAGTCAAGCACTGTGCCAGGTACTACAGATACAAACAAAAATAAAAATAAAATAATCCTTTATGGTGAGCCACCAGATACATCTATAAGCATATGGAGAATAAACACAAAATTAAAAGAAGGCAATTAAACATGTTACATTCTAACACGGGGAGAATGAGCACACTAGCGGGGGGGGGGGGCGCACGCCAAGAAAGGCTTCATTAGAAAGTGGTATTTGAACTGAGTTTTGAAGGAAGTAAGGGATTCCATGAGATGTAGGTGAGGAGGGCGTCTATTTTAGACGCACAAGCAAAAGATATGGAAACAGAAGGTGAAGGTACTGTATGTAAGGAAAAGTAAGAAGGCCTCAACAGAAATAGGGACGTTTCATAAAGGGCTGGTTGGGTTAGAGGGGGAATATTGTGGGTTCTCTTTTGGACATGCCGAGTTTGAGAAGCCTCTGCGACACCCGGTTTGAAATGTCCACTAAGCAGTTGGTGATGTGGGACTGGGGAGCTCAGATAAAACTAGGGTTGGGTATATAGATCTGACAGTTATCTACATAGACTTAATAATTAAACCCATGGGAGCTGATGAGACTAAAGGGGAAGTGGATATAGAGGGAAACAGAAGAACCGAGGGGAGTGAAAGGGGAGGAGGTAGGAGAATAGAGGAGAGGGACCAATAGAAAACAACCTTTGGGCACATCCACAATTAGATGGTGTAATATGAATGATAAACCAGAAAAGAGGGCTGAGAAAGGGTGCTCGGACAGACAAAAGGAGAACCAGGGGAGAACAGTGCTATGAAAAACCCAGAGAGGAGAGAGTATTTAGGAAGGGAGGGTGGTCAACATTGTCATATACCGTTAGATATCACAGATGATTGCTTGATTTTCCTGAACTATTTTTTCTTATTCTTTTTAATTCTGCATTACAAGGGATGGCTCACTGGGAGGGGAGGGGGAAAGGTTATATTTGGAACTAAAGGTGATATAAAAACAAAAGCGATTGATAAAAACAAGATTAAAGGCAAGACAGCAAGAGAAGGAAAGAGCTGCTTATCATAGACTGATAATTTTCCTGGGAAAGGCTCCAATTTTTCCATTCTAACTATTCCACACCCTCATAGCAATTCTTTCTTGTTGTTAATGTCCCCTCCTAAAGCAAGCTGAAACTCAGCGATGGTGCCCAGAGAGGGAAGGGCTCAAAAAAAGAGGAAAGGTGGGAAATAAGTGAGGCTCGTGGGTAGTGTTTGTCTCACCCACCCTAGGGATTTGAGGGGAAGGAGGGAAAGAAAAGGGAGGCATTCCTGTTCTCTACTCTTTGAGGACCAGAATCCTCTCTTCTGCCTGATCTCTGAAACCAGAACCATTAAAAAGGGGTGAAGAATGTGGATTTTGGCTCCCACAAAGAGTAAGAGGTTTTACTACCTTAAGCAGAGCCCACAGCTAGGAACAGCAGTTAAGGAATCCAGTCCTACCATGGACTCATTCTGATCTGGGACCCAAGCAAACCATTAATAAAAATCTCCCAGCAGAGCAGGGCTTGGAGCCAAATCCTGCCAGCCAGTATGTCCAGGGCCAGGAGCCAAGAAGCAGATGATAATAACACCACCTTCCATTTTTGTAAGCCCTTTCCAGTTTACATGGTATCTTCCCATCCATTTTCTATTTCAACCCAACAACCCGTGAGGTAGCAGAGTAAGGAGTATCTTATTACACACTCTTCTTTAAGTAGGCAAGTCAACAAGGTGAAGGCATTTGCCCCAGGTCACATGGCTATTGTCAGAGCTGAGCCTCAAACCCAAATCTACTTACTGCCTCCTTGAGTGCATTTCCATCCCCCTACCCTTCCTCTTCCTGGTCCTGTACCTGCAGCTCATCTGCCTCAAGCCTTGTAAACAGCCCCGGAAAAGAAGGGCTCAAGGCATCCTAGCAACAGCCTCTGCCGAGAACAGGCCGCAAAAGAAATGAGGCTGAATTCTTCCACGCTTGTTTCATGGGGCCTGAAGATTTCTTATGGTGTAAATCAAGCCCATTTCCCCCAAATCACAGGGAACATGTTTCTAGCAGAGGAAAGGCAATTGCTATGGAGATTTTCCATTACAGAGCTCCTTTAATAAGACTCAAGGGCTAACTGTTGTGTTACATGGGTTAGCGCAAGGAGCTGGGAGCTGCTGCTGCTGCAGTCCTGCTCCTCCACTGGGGCTAGCTTGGAGCCATCTGGCCCTGAACCACTTGCTTTTAAATCAGCCTCACAGGGACAGTGTCTGGTCTGGAAGCACCACTGGGCTCCTGGGGAGGGGAGAGGAGAGAGATGGAAGAGAACATGGGGGCAGGGAAGAAGGCAAGGACTAGCAGCCCCCACTGAGCTGGGAAGACAAAGTGAAAACATATGGAAGCTTCAGCTGGTTTGCACACACTGTCAAGGCTCCCGGAATGATTTATAAGAGATTTTAGAGCCCAAGCCAAATTCCGGCAGCTCCTGCCAGAGTAGACAGAGGACAGCTAAAGAGAACCAGGTCACACCTGCACCTTCCCTTCTTCTGGGGAACTATCTTATTTATTGGAGAACCACAGGTGGCCGTGGCTCAGCCTTGGTTTGCCAACATGCTGATCCAGTTTATGGGCTCAAGTCACTTGAGAGGACCTGGGGAGCATTTCATTCCAGCCCCTCGGCCAAACCTCGTTTCCTGACTGCTTGAATTCCCATTAAGGAGCTTTGCCAAACAATATTAGGATGGAGACAGCCTTAAACAATCAGTGTCCTATTTATAAACAAACATGTGGGGGCCACAATGTAGGGAATGAAGAATATGTCTCCCTTTCAGAATATGCAAGACAAGGCAAAGCAACAAACATTTATTAAGTGCTTATTACATGCCAGGCAAAAGTACAAACTATGGATGTTGGATCAGATAAACCAACACATAGGATAGCAGCAAGACTGGGTTGATGGGTGACAAGGTGCCATATTGGAAAGGTGATCTATAGGCAAGAACCCATATTCCTTTAAAAAAAAAAGTGGAGAGAGAGTTGGGGTAGGGGTAAGGAAGAAGTAGAATAAGGAATTCTGGGAACAGGGACAGCAAAAAATGAGGATGAGAATGAGGATGAGGATGAGGATGATGTCTATCCTCTATTTAGCCACCAAAGTTATCTTCCTAAAGCACAGGTCTGACCATATCACCCCCTATCATGTCCAGGTAAAATACAAAATCCTTTGTTTGACATTCAAGGTCCTTCATAACTCACTCCCCAAAACGCCTTTCCAGGCTCCTAAGACCCTGCAGCCCTCCATGTAATCTTGGATCCACTGGCCTCTCAGCTGTGCTTCAAACAAGGCATTCCATCGCTCAGCTCCAGGCATTTCCATGGCTGCCCTCCACACTCGGAATGCTCTCCCTCCTCATCTCCTCCTCCCTGTCTCCCTTCAAGTCCTCACTAAAATCCTGCTTTCTGCAAGAAGCCTTTCCTGATCCCTCTTAACGGGAGGACCTTCTCTCTATTGGCTACTTCCAGTTTATCCTGCATACAGGTCATCTGTACACAGTTGTTTTCATGTTTCTCCCCCATCAGATTGTGGATTCCTCAGAAGCAGGGATCATCTTCTGCTTTTCTTTACTGCTTGGTACAGTGCCTGGCACACAGTAGATGCCTAATAAATGTTTACTGACTGACTAATAATAATAGCTACCATTTATATAGGGCAGCTAGGTGGCACAGTGGATGGGCCTAGAGGCAGGAAGACCTGAGTTCAAATCCGGCCTCAGATACTTACTAGCTATGTGACCCAAGGGCACTTAACCCTATTGCCCCAGTTTCCTCATCTGTAAAACGGCCTGGAGGAGGATATAGCAAACCACTCCAGTATCTCTGCCAAAAAAACCAAAACAAAACCCACACAGGGTCATAAAGAGTCAGATACGCTTGAAATGAGTGAATAACAATAACAGCATTTATATAGCATTTTAAGGATTACAAAGTGCTTTACAAATACTATTGCATTTTATCCTCACAACAATCCTGGCTGACAGGTGTTATTATTATCCCTATTTTACAGATGAGGAAATTGAGGTAGTAAGTGGTTAAGTGACTTGCCCGAGATCACACAGCTACTGAGGGTCTGAGGACAGATTTGAATTGAGGTCTCTCTGACTCTAGGTCTAGTGCCTTGTACTTCACCAGTGCTGTCAAACATAAATAGAAACGGATCCCTGCAGGCTGCATGTTGACTGAGAAAACCACAAGTTAACATTCTTTATGTTGCATTGCATTTTGATTTATTTTGTTAAAGATTTCCCTTTAATCTGGTTGGAGCAGCACTCTGGACTTTTATAGCCTTGAGTGAGTTTGGTACCTCTGCATCACAGCACCTAGAACCTAGCTGCTTCTAAGCTAAGTCTAAATGTACCATCTCCTTTCCAAAGTCCTCTCTGGTCAAGACTTTCAAGTCCATTTGTGGGTTTTCCAGGCTGGCTGGCTCTGCCCCAAGAAGAAACTGCTGAAGTATTTACCTAACACAATAAAAATAGTGAAAAAAGACAGCCCATATTTCTCTTATTTAATTTGAAGAGAGGCAATAGAGGGCTGGTCTCAGAGGTATGAAGACCTCAGACTTGGACTGACTGAACAAGTCATTTCTCAGTATCCTGACAAATCTCTAAGGCTCTGAAGTGTAGAACAGGTTCTGCCCTGCATTGCTGGAGGGAGCTTTCTCAATGGAAGTGACCAAAACCAAAGAAATCACATCTATTTTTTAAAATCCAGTTTGCAGAAAGGAAGGGTGAGAGGCCTCAGTGGAGTGACAGGATACTTGGTGGGAGGTGGGGGTAGGTTCGCCATTCTCTACCACACCGCGAGGCAGGAGTGAGGGGCCCAACTCTACTTACCTGATGCCTCTGCAGGTGCTGAGTGTAACACTGGATTGTTCTTCCCTTCTCACTTTCCCATGGTAAAAACAGTCATCCTGGAAGAGTCAAAGAACTTGATCAAGACAGAGGAAAGATAGGAATGGTACCCAAAGGCACCCTTCCCACTCCCAAGGTAATTCGACAAGTCCCATCCACCTTCCTTAAAGATTTCCCTGACTTCTCCAGCCCACAATGACTTCTTCCTCCTTTAAACTCCTCAGATCCTACATAATACTGGACTTGGTGCAGAATCGTAGTTTATAGGGATCAGACAGAAGATTCCAAATGGAAACACAGAGAGTGAGACATGACTGAAATGACTGAATAACAACAACAAAACCCTTGCTTTATCCCATAGCTTTAAATTAGAAAAGACTAGGGTGTTTCTCCATTACAGACAATGCTAGCTCTTGGGTTATTGTTGTTGTCGTTGTCATTGCTGTTTATCAATACTGTTTACCACACTAAGAAAGTCGACTGGTCAATAAGCATAGATTCAGTGCCTGAAGCAATAAGGACACAAAGAAAGGCAAAAGGCAGTCTTTTCCCTCAAAGAGATCAGCAAACTACGAAAATAACTATGTACAAACAAAATATATACAGGATAAAGTGGAAATATTAAGAGAGGGAAGGCATCAGCATTAAGGGAGATGAGGAAAGGCTTCTTATAGAAGGTGGGAGTTAGCTGGGACTTGAAGGAAGCTAAGAAAGCCAGGAGGTGAAGAAGAGGAAGGAGAGAATCCCAGGCCTAGAGGACAGCCAGTGAAAATGCAAAGTTAGAAGACAGAGTAGCTTGTCTGAGAAACAGCAGAGAGGCCGGTATCAATGGATCCCAGAGTACATGGGGATAAGACATAAGAAGTCTAGAAGGGCAGGAGATGGGAAGGTTATGAAGAGATTTGAATATTAAACAGAGGATTTTGTTCATTCTAATACTTTCTGGCATTTCAAACATAAATGAGAGATATATTTTGCCCAAAACATTTTTCTGTATCTATTGATCTAATCATTATTTTATTGATTTTAAAAATATATGGTCTATTTGTTTCGAGTTTTCCTAAAGTTGAACCAACCCTTCTTTTCTGTAAATCCAATCTGATAAAGGTGAATAATCCTTTGCACATGTTGCTTTATTTTACTAACATTTTCCTTACTTTCTTTTTACTAATTTACTAATTTTATTAATTGCTAATCAGTATCTTAGCATCAATATTCAATAGAGATACTAGTCAATAGCTTTCTTTCTTTGATTTACACCTGGATTTTAGGAATCAGAACCATGTTTGCTTCATAGCAGTAATTTGGTAGATTGCCTTCCACCTCGATCTGTCAAAAAATGATGCAGTACTGGGGTTAATTGTTCTTTGAATATATTTTGTTGTTCTGCTTCAGTTATTTAGTCATGTCTGACTCTTCATGAGCCCATGTGGGGTTTTCTTGGCAGAGATACTGGAGTGGTTTGCCATTTCCTTCTACAACTCATTTTACAGATGAGGAAACTGAGGCAAACAGGGTTAAATGACTTGCCCAGAGTCACACAGCTAGTAAGTGCTTGCGGCCAGATTTTAACTCAAGGAGAGGAGTCTTCCTGAATTCAGGCCTGACATTTTATCCACTGTGTCATCTGGCTGCCTCCTTTGAATATATAATAGAATCCATTGGTAAATCCATCTGAGCCTGGGGTTGTTTTCTTTGGGAGCTTTATGTCTTGCTCAATTTCTTTTACTGAAATCAAGTTACTGAAGTTTATGAAATCAAGTCCTGTTTTCTTAATCTGAATGCTTTATATTTTTGTAAGTATTCATCTACATCTTTTAAGTGATCAGCATTTTGGGCATGTAAAGGGAGAAATAGTTTCTATTGCTGTGGTTTCTCTTTTTTCTTTTTTTTTTTGTTTTGTTTTGGTAATTTAGTTTTCCTCTTTTCATATCAAGATAGCTAATGCTTCTATTTTGTTAGGCAGGTAAAATAACAGCCTTTTGAGGTTCCTTTTGTCTCCTGAATTTGTTTTAAAGATTCAATTTAACTCTATTATCTCAACAAGAATGCTTGAAAGCCTTTGATAGTATTTGCTATTAAGTCTTATGGGGTCCTTACTGTGGTTGCTTCCTGCCTGATGTCTCTCTCCATGGCTTCCTGAAATATATTTTCTTTTGACCTGAAGACTTTAGATTTTAGCTTCGACATTTCTAGGTATGTTCAATTTGAGATAACTTTCAGGGGGTGATCAGGAGTAGATTCTTTCTCTTTTCACTTTGTCTTCTGGCTCTAATAGTTGTAGGCAGTTTTTATTTTATTTTTTGGATTATGGTAACCGAATATTTTGTTTGATCCTAATTTTGAAAAGTTCAATAATCTACAAAGTAACTCTCCTTCTCCTGTTTTTGAGGTTACCTGTCTTGATAGTAAACATCTCATTTGTTCATTTAATTTTTCCATTTTTAACTTAGTTCTGGTGTTTCTTGTTGCTTCATTGAATCACTGAATTCTCTCCACCTGACTCATTTCTTAGGGTATTAAGTGGTTGGTTAAGGTGTGTCTGCTTTTTGTCTTAAGATATTTCATTCATTTTCTATTTCCTGCTTACGCTCTCATTTCTTCCTTCCATTCTTAGAGTCCTTTGTGCCTAATCTATTCTTTTTTTTCTGAGAAGTATAGGATTATTTCTCATAACATTTATTATTGATGTATTTTGTTTTTATATTACAAACATTTACAGATTGCCTCCATTCCACAAGAGGTCTGTTGTAACAAACACAAAACAAAAACAAACAATATGGTTATGTCATCTGAAGGTGCTTGCAACATTCCATAATATTCCATAGTACCTACTACCTCTCTATTCAAAAAAAAAAAAATTAACACATTTATTTTCTCTTCCTCTGACCCCCCCAATTACATTGAAAATAGAGATACAAAAGCATATTCCTTGTAATAGATACGCATAGTTAAGCAAAACAAATTCCCTTAGCTGTATACTATATATACACATGTATGAGAGAGAAAGAGATAGGTGACTGATAGATAAAGATGTCTCATTATGCAACCTAAATCCATCACTTCTCTGTCAGGAGATGGGAAGCATGCTACATCATTGGCCCTCTAGAATCATGGCTGGTCACTGTATTGATCAGAGCTCATACAGCCTTCAAAATTATGTGTCTGCAATACTGTTGTATTGTGTGCATTGTTCTTCAGTTTCTGCTTATTTCATTCTTCATCAGTTTATAAAAGTCACCAAAAATGTTCATGTTGATAATATTGACATAGTATAAATTGTTCCTCTGGCTCTGATTATTTCACTCTGCATCACAAAAGTCTTTTCATGTCTCTTTGAAATCATCTATTCCCTCATTTCTCATACAATAATAGTATTCTATCACATTCATATACCACAACTTACTTAACCATTCCAAAATTCATGGGCATCTTTTTAGTTTTAGATTTTTTTTTCACCACCACAAAAAGAGCTGCTATAAATATTTTTGTATATATAATATCCTTTCCTACCTCTTTGCACTTTGTGGAATGTAACAGGCCTAGCAGTGTTACAAGTGGGTCAAAGGACATGAACCTTTTTGTGTATGATTCCAAATTGCTTTCCAGAATCATTATATCCATTCACAGTCTATCTACAGTATATATGCTATTATTTCAAACTTATATTCTTCCTTGGGGATTTTATTATGGGATAATCTTAACTGATAGTATTTCCTTATTGTGGAAGGGTCTGTTTTTAATTTTCTGTTTGCTCATGTCTACGGCTTCAGTTTCTTAATTAGGAACCTGTGCCAGGTCCAGGGTCTGCCCCTTTTTACACTGTTGAATGGGATGGACAGGCTCAAATCCTATCTCTCACTGCAGTTCTGGAGTGGGATGTTATATTGAGGCTAGATTCTGTCTCTGCTGCAGTCTAAAGGTCACTGCCCTGTGGTCTCTGGGTCAGAAGCTGTCTGGAGTCAGACCCTGCCTCTGAAGTGTGACTTCAGTCCTGGTTTAGGGCCAGGAGATACATGCAGTTTTGATGTCAAACCCTACCCACTAGCATAGTCTACAGCATTTCTTTATCTTCTGGGGTTTTTTCACCTGATAGCACTGGTCTTTCAGTTTCCCAGAGCAATCCCCCACTAGAAGTGTGTTACTTTAGGTTTAGATCCCTGAAACAGTTCCATTGGAAAGGATGCTGGATTGAAGATAATTTTTTAAGACACCTCCATAGTCTGAGCTTATTGGCATTAGTTTAGTAGCGGAGAGGGAGCCAGACTTAGACTCAAAAGACATGAGTTGCCTCAGACACTTTGCTGGCTCCTCAACTCTGGGCAAATCAGTTAACCTCTGATAGCCTTCGTTTCCTCATCAGTAAAATGGAGATAACGATAACACCTACTTCACTAGTTTGTTATGGGATCAAATGAGATAACATATATAAAGCATTTTATAAACCTTAATATATTATAAATTCCTGTCATCATCATCATCATCATTAACAGAGTCCTCAACTCCAGTAGCTGCCTCTGCTTTAGATCCCATCCCCTTATTTATAGGATGAAGGAACTCAGTGGCTTTTTTATTTCATTTTAAAATTCTATTTGAAGTTTTAGTTCAATAGATGTTCCTCAGGAGACCTAGGTCCGCTTAGAACTCTCCACATTACCATCTTAACTAGCCACTTTTATTATTGCAGCCCAAGACTCTCTCAGTTGAATAAAGGCCAGCCCTGAGCCTGGTGACAGGGTACAACTAACTGGTCCACAAGGGGATTGAACTCCTGGCTTTGACCTTTCTTTATAATATGCTTTACTCAACTGAGTAAACCAACTACAGATGGAGGATGAAGGCTATTTAGGCAGCAGAGCTACTAGGAATTCTGGTATCTGGGACAAATTTATCGAGTGACAGTTGGGTACAATCACCCTAAGAGAGGTAATGTCTACTTCCTCCCCAGAGTCTGGCTCCAGTCTCTAAGGCATGGCCCAAGACCCTTAACTGCTAATCTCCACACCCTACTCATCAGCAGGAGACAAAACAGGAGGAGGAGAAGGGAGATAGGGGATTC